ATTCAAACGTGAGTTTTGAGCAGTGTAGAGTAGCACTTGTTGTTTGTCATTTCTCAGATCACAAATGCAGACAGGGTTTTATGTTTACGCAGCGCGTTGCAACACGTAAAAATACAGTATAAATCATTATAATCCGTAATTATGTCCCCACTGGATGCAACAAATGCCTCGTTTATAATGGGTTTTAATGTTTTTGTCTCGTCGCTACGGCCGGACAGGGCATCACAGTAGGGTAAGGGGCGTAACATTTCCGTCACACGTTTGTGGTATTCGGCCAATCACAACGCACTGGATAGCTGGCCAATCAGAGCACACCTCGCGTTTCAGAAAGGCGGGGCATAGAGGAGAAACAATAATGTACAGTATGTGGAAAATAATGTTTTTTGAACCTTAAACCGCATAAACACATTTCATTACACCAAATACACAAAATAATGTTATTTTTAGCAACATCATATGACCCCTTTAATGAAATCATAGCCTTTTGAAGTTTAATCTTCACATTGAGCCATATCGCAATTCTGGTCTTTCCGTTCCCAAATTTAAGACCTTAAGACTTTCTTGTACAATTTAAGACCTTTTAAGACCTTAAATTTGATACAACTAAATTTAAGACTTAAAGGGTTAGTTCACCCAAAAATGAAAATTAGCCCATAAATTACTCACCCTCAAGTCATCCTAGGTGTATATGATTTTCTTCTTTCAGACGAATCCAGTCAGAGTTATATTAAAAATTGTCTTTGATCTTTCAAGCTGTTTCATGGCATTCAAGGGGTGTTGCATGCATCAGTCCAAAAGAAGTGAAATAAAAAGCACCCATCCATTAAAAAAAAAAAGTGTCTCACACAGCTCTGGGGGTGAACAAAGGCCTTCTGTAGCGAATCGATGTGTTTTTGTAAGAAAAATATCCATATTCAAAACGTAATAATCACTTTAATGTAGCTTGCGCTCACAGTTGTACACGGAAGCAGTTCCGGGCGGATGACGTATGAGTTCAGCGCTGCGCATGCGCCGGTGAGTCTCGTAAAAACCAATGTTTGTTTACAGGAGCAAAGGAAGCAAAGTTTCCTTACTTTAGCAAAGGAAAATCAGTCTCTTGGCTTATATCGAAATCCTCCGACATTCTTCTTTACAAATCCTCGTTTTGTACTTCTAATAAGTGACCGGTGTTTTGTTTTGATCTCTACCCTGCGCTTCCGCGTGTGTCACATCTGAGCGGCGCATGCGCAGAGCCGACCTCATACGTCATCCGCCCGGAACTGCTTCCGTGTACAACTGTGAGCGCAAGCTACATTAAAGTGATTATTACGTTTTGAATATGGTTATTTTTCTTACTAAAAAGCATTGATTCGCTACAGAAGGCCTTTGTTCACCCCCAGAACCGAGACACTTTTTTTTTTATGGATTGATCTTTTTATTTAACTGCTTTTGGACTGATGCATGCAACACCCGCTGAGTACCATGAAACAGCTTGAAAGGTCAAAGACTATTTTTTTTATATAACTCCGACTGGATTCATCTGAAAGAAGAAAGTCATATACACCTAGGATGGCTCTGGGGTGAGAAATTTATGGGCTAATTTTCATTTTTGGGTGAACTAACCCTTTAAGACCCTGTTATAGTTAGCAAAATGTCTAATGTGGACTATCACATTGAAGTATTACCCCTTAGTGTATTATAAGTTTATAGAATGACCATTAAGAAAAAAAGGAAATTATAAAATAAACTCAAGTCAAATGTCAAGTCAAGTCAAAGTCACAGGTGAAGAAAATTAAAGCTAAAAAAACATATATTTTAAAGCTTTCTTTATGCAAAATGTAATTTCTTTCTTTTTTTTCTTTTCTTGTTTTTCTCCATGATTTTGGTGAGAATCTCCCATTAAAACAAAGCAAAGATATTGCTGTCTGGTGACCTGCTGTTAATCATGTAGCTGGAGTCCCGTATGTGACATCAGCCGATTTATGTGTTATGAGTGCACTGAAGCAGCTCCAAGGCATTTTCCACAGGGAATTCATTATGCTCAACAGTTAAAACGCAACAAGAGTGTCATTTGTAAACTTTTTTTAGACAGATGTCAATACAATTTTCAATTTTAAAACAACGCTTCAAACTTTCATAGTGAAAGCTATTGTGATAAGTGAATAAGCTTTTGTTTTTTTTTAGGAGGTATCAGTCTGAGGCTTTAAGGGCTTAGCCTAACATTCAGGCAGTCAGCAGGCGCAGGGCTTGCCCGGCTCCAGCTCAACCGTGAGTCCTTTGCTGAGAAGGAAAGCATCCTGCTTGGGTTCTCTTCCCAGGAACGTCTTCAACATGTCAGCAGCATCCTCAGATCCTCCAGGCTTCAGAATGCACTTCCTGTAGTCCAGACCCACCTGCGAGACAACACAGAAACATGAGTAGACACAAAGGACATTTACACACAGGATTCACAAGCACTATTGGTTAATCTAACCTTAGGGTCCATGATGCCTTCTTGTTTGAAACGGGCATAGAACATATCCATGGAGAAGACTTCACTCCACAAGTAACCGTAGTACTGAGCATCATATCCTCCTGCCAGGTGACCGAAGGTAGCAGGCATGTTTGTCCCTGTAAGAACACCAAAAAAAACAAGAAAAAATAAGAATGAGGAGGTGCTGATAACAATAAAAAATGCATATATAACAGTTTGTTCCGGTCCTCAAATCTGATTGGCTGAAAGATCTTTCCAACCAGTATCACCACCGGAACCATTTCACAATATATTGTCATGGGTGCACATACGTTTTTTGGTCTGGTTCTCATGAGAGCACCTGGAGATTTGGTTTGGTGCTCACACTGCTCAATGTGACCCATTAAATATAACTATAAAAAAATAAAACAATTAATGAATTAACAGTAATAATAGTATTATTGCACTTTATTTTGTTTATTTTTAAAATAAAATAATAAACAAATTAAAAAAGTGTGATGATACTACTATATTTGAAAATAAAAAAGGAGTATTAAATAAAAATACAATTATTTAATAGTACACTTAAAAATACAATGCTAAATGCTAATATTTACTTTTTTTTTTTAAATAATAATTCACAAACCTAAAATCAGAAAGCTTTTATTTTGGTGAGTTGCTGGCAAATGCACTGCCAGTTTTAGCGCTGCTGAGTAAAGCGCGTCAGTGAATATTTTGCATTTTCCGCTCTGAAACCGACAGCGCATAGCCAATATTTGTGACCCAGGACCACAAAACCAGTCATAAGGGTCCATTTTTTTTAAAATTGAGATTTATACATCCTCTGAAAGCTGATAAGCTTTCCAGTGATGTATGGTTTGTTAGGAAAGGACAATATTTGGCCGAGATACAACTATTTGAATATCTGGAATCTGAGTGCAAAAAAAATCTAAATGTCCAAATGAAGTTCTTAGCAATGCTTATTACTAATCAAAAATTAAGTTTTTACATATTTATGGTAGGAAATTTACAAAATATCATCATGCAATATGATCTTCCATATTCCATAAAAATCTATCATTTTGACCCATATAATGTATTGTTGGCTAATACTACAAATATACCCGTGCTACTTATGACTGGTTTTGTGCTCCAGGGTCACATTTATGCTTTCATTTAGAATCTTATACAATATTACAGTTAGTCGATCTAAAACGGTGATTGTGCATTAACAGCTGTCAACCATGTCAGAACTCAAATGAGCGGTCTTAACTTATTTACATAGGAAATTATTATTATTATTTTTTTTAGGTCGTGCATGTGCACCACTTATATTGTATTGTACTTGCACACCTGTATATTGTAATGAACATTATAATGAACATATCTTCATTTAAGATGTAATGTATTTTCCTTTTTTATTTGTGATTTGGGGTAAACCATTACAGTGATGTTCACTTTATTTACCTTTTTTTTTAAGCATACTACATAAATATTCTAATACTGTACAATATTGCAACAAATATTTTTCTATTTATTTGCCCTTTAAGCCATTGCAGAGCAATTGCATACTGAATATTCGTCAAGGGGTTAAAAAAATAAATAAATGAAGGATTTTTATTTTATTGCTGAGGCCTAAATCTCATTTCACCTGGCGAGGAAGGAATTCCCAGGAGGTCCAGGCAAAGTCTGGCATACTCCTCAGCCGGGTCGAGCCCACTCTTTGTGTGCAAAGCCTGGTCCACCTTAGCCAGAACAATCTGCCTCAAGTTAAACAGTCCTGAAAAACAGGAAGAAAAAGTTAGTAGGTCAGAGAAATGTTGAGGAACGGGACTTTTTTAAATTGTGAAAAGTGGGCGTTACAAACCAGAACAGAAAGTGATCTCAGCGTTATTGCATTGTAAAAAACAGCTTACAAAGACAATTTAGTAACACTTTAGTATAGGGACCACTATTAACTAGTTGTGTATTATCGTGCATATTATTAACATATTGGCTGTTTATTAGTACTTATAAAGCACATATCCCTACATCCCTAATCCTACCCCACACCTAAACTTAACAACTACCTTACTAACTATTAATAAGCAGCAAATTAGGAGTTTGAGGCAAAAGTCGTAGTTAATGGTTTGCTAATGGCAAGAATTGCACCTTAAAATAAAGTGACAATTTTTTTCCTTCAAAAAATCATTTACCCAATCGTTCAAAATAAGATTAGGAAAGTGTGAGCAAACAGAATAAACATTTGTTGCATTAACTTGTAGCTAGTGTGTGATCAGTTTCCGTTTATATTGCGGAAATGACCAATGTGTGTTCTATGGTCACCTGTGTTAGCAAGTCTAGACTTGATGAGTTTGTCCAGAAGCTCCTCTGGAATGGGGTTTCCTGTTTTGTAGTGCTTGGACATGCGCTGCAGGGGCTCCTTCTCCCAGACCCAGTTCTCCAACATCTGAGACGGAGCTTCCACAAAATCCCTCTCCACATGAGTCCCGCTGAACATCGCAAAGTCAGCCTGAACGAACAGAAGAATGTCCATATTTAAACTTCACAGACTGCAATAGTGCTGTCAAATGATTAATCGCATACAAAATACAAGTTTTTGTTTGCATAATATGTGTTCTGTGTATATTTATTATGTATATATAAATGCACACACATACAGTATATACCTTGAAAATATTTACATGTTTATATTTATATTCATATTGTTTATGAATAAACATTTAATATATAAACATAACCTATTTTTCTGAAATATATATATATATATATATATATATATATATATATATATATATAAAAACTATACACAGCACAAATTAATAAGATAAAATAAATATATATATATATATGTACATATATATATATATATATATATATATATATATATATAAAAACTATACACAGCACTTATTTTGGATGCGATTAATCGTGATTAATCGTTTGACAGCACTAGACTGCAAAATAGTTGCAACCTAAACCTCACTGAAAGCCTTATTCAGACCTGAGCACAAAGCTGGTGCATCACATGTCCAAACTCATGGAAGTACGTTTCCACTTCATCGTGCTGCAGCAGGGACGGCGCATCTGTGGTGGGCTTGCTGAAGTTAGCCACCATGGCAGCCACAGCCATCTGCCTGGTCCCGTCTGAGAGCAAACAGCCGGGCTGCAGGCCAAAGCATGCAGCATGGCCGTACTTCCCCTCCCTGCAGGGATAATGGAGAATTAGCAATTAATCTAGATGAAGCTCTGCGTTCAGGATGAGAATGGGTTTTACGTCTCAGAAATCAGACAGTGAAGCCCTTGTAAACCTCAAGATACAGGGGCTGGATTCATAAAAATGTTAAGAAATGTATTAAGATAAAACAATTCATATGTATCAAGTTCAAATGAATGCCCCAAAGTGCAATTCTTGTAAAAAAAAAAATTGCAAGTATTATTTATCATTCTTAGGAAATATTTTAAGAACATTTCATTTTTTTCATAAGAAGAAATTGACAGCCTTTGGTGTTATTTGAGCGTTTACCGAAAGACTTGCAGTTGAACACAATGAAATAGTGATGCGCCACCAAAAGTTCACCAACCAAAAATATTTGTCCAAAAATTAATTTCAGGTTTCAGCCAACAGTTTAAACGGGCCTCAAATAAATAGTGATTCTCTGATGGTGCGTTTTTCACTGTCTCAGTAATGTAATACATTTTAGTCTGTGCTGTTTTCTGTAGTTGATGTCTGAACAAAACTTCTTTAAATATCTTTGTGCTTTGATACTTTTGATATGAAACAAAGTCTTAGCTTTAGAATTCTGTCAACTGTATAAAGAAATTCAAACCATAAATGTAATTTTGTATCGTTTCCTCTAGAGGACTAAATATATTAACTATACTAAATTTTCATTATATGTTTACTTAACTTGTTGTCTTTATTATTTAATGCATGTTTGAATAGATCTATCATGAAAACAGGTTAAACTGTCACTGTTTAAATGTTAAAGGAGTCCCATTATGCTTTTTCACTTTTAGTCAGTGTGTAGTGTGTATGTTTGGGCATAAAAAAGACCTAGAAAGTTACAAATCTCAAAGTCCACCCCAAAGGGAGATATTGCGTTTTTAAAAAATCCCTTTTCAAGAACTACAACGAACGGCTCGTTTGGACTACAGCGTTTGTTTTCCGGGCTTTGTGATATCACAAAGCGGCCCATTAGAATATCATTAAAAATAATTCCCCCCTACAGAAATTCGAATGGTTGGGGGGTGGGGAGGGGCGAGGTTGTGGTTAGAACGCTTGGTTGAGTGAGTGCATCAGACGAGACGACGAAGAAGAAGTGCTGCT